TATATATATAGATATATAGATATTTGTTAATTTGCATATATCAGGAGATACGGCAGTGTCTCTTTCGGTGTTATATTATTTACCTGCTGTTGGACCAACCATATCTTCTCGTGATATAATAACCGTGGCAAGAGCATATCGATCTGCATTATTCACTTGAGTGCCCTATATTTTATAAACAATATTATTATTATTATTATATTAAAAAAAATTTAAATCTGTTAAAAATAAAAATGTGTTGATATTTTTACCTTAATAACAATAGTTGCTGGAGTCATTAATTCGTGCTCCTGCAGCGAGCGTATCATGATGATTTCAGCAGTCTCAGGATTCAAATCCAAAAAGGGTAAAATTCCACCTCGTATAGTATACCGAACCGGTGCATTTATACCGATGTCTTGATCCACAGCTTTTATCGCAGCAGGTACTACCCTTAATGGTTTTCTCTAAACAATAATGAATTAATTCTTATTTTGTATATTTATTTTGTTATAGAATCGAATCTGACTGAAATAAGTTTTTATTAAAAAAATATGAGTTTTACCCCTTTTATATGACGAGGTACGGTAATCTTATACTGATCGTTCAAAAAAGCCGGATTCTGATCGTCGGCATCAATAACATTAACGTACAATGTTGTCATTGACGATCGTGGTGGATTACCTTGATCCTGTAACAAACGAGAATTTTTATTAAATTGTCATTAAAAGTTAACATTTATTATTGAGAAATATATAATTATATTGAAAAACAAAATACTCTTGGCTTTTTATTATTAGAATATGATTATAAGCATGAGAAATAGTCAGAAACAGCATTATTCGATGAATTTTTTGTAAGACTTCACTTGTTCATTGTTGCGTATCGATACGCATTGATCACTCAAATCAATTTATTCGAATCAATTTATTCAAGACCGTTATGATCCATTTACGATGCTTTTATAATGTTGAACTCCGTTATTGGTTTATGGATTTCGTATATTATGTTACATAAAAAGAGAATTTATGTTCAGAACTTTAATCAATTCAACTATTCCCGAAATAAATCACATTTTTCCATTTGAGAAAAAATTGATTCTCTGCAACAATTTTAGATATATATTCATTTTTATGTAACGTAATATGTCAAATTTGTAGAATAATAATGAAATTTGAAAATTGTCTACGACACGTTTCTAATTTTTAATATTTAATGTTTTGAAATGTTGAACTGAAATGTAAAATCGAACTTACTTGTGCACGAATGTCAACGGAGAAATTGGTGAGAGTTTCGTAATCTAGTGATTTTCTTAGTACAAGAGTGCCTTCCAAAGCATTTACAAAGACAAAGTAATCCTGTGAGTAAAAAAAATAATTATTTGTATAATAATAATTTGTATAATAATAATATCTGAAGAATAAAAATGTTATTTGTAAGAATAATAATTAGCAATATATTAGATATATGACAAATGAAGAGATAGTGCAAATTATTAGTGAAAAAATAATTTAGCCATATAAATGTTCACAAAATTCACCGAGTGAGCTCCTGTTAGGACTGTATACTGCACAGTAGAAAATGGTCCTGGTTGATCAGCATCAACAGCTCGAACTCCTTGCAGAACTCTTGTGCCAACAACAGTAACCTGGAATATTCATACTATATTAAAATCAAAGAAATGCAAAATTGATATTTTTTATTACTTAATATTAAAAATATCAAAGATTATCTCGCCTCAGAAATATTCAGCACGTAGGGCGCATTCACAAATTGTGGTGTATTGTCATTCGCGTCGGTTACCCGAATGTTCACTGGTATGATGAATTCCTTTAAAAATTAATCACAATTTCTTAAAAATGATAAAATCAGAATATACACACACACACACAGACACACACACACATATATATATATATATATATGAGCCTCTTATTTCCTAGCGATACTATTGATTATTTGTTACATTGACGAATTAATTTGCAATCGTAACAAATCGATCGGTTTTTTTAACAAATATCACATTTGCTTTCCCAT